CCGGGCCCAGGGCGGCCGCGCCTTCCTGTCCCCCCGCCCCCCGCAGGTGCACAGATGCAGCCCCCGGCTCTGCTGGCCGCTTACAAGGGCCGGGCCCTGGGGACAGGGGCAGGAGCTGAGCGCCAGCGTCGGCCCCCTGCCAGCGGATCACCCCCTACCTGCACCCAAACGAGGGTGCTGGGAGCCTGCCCTGAGCGGGTGCAGCCCTGCACCCACACCCGAAGCCAGCGAAGGCTGGAAAGCAGGGCGGGACCTGCAGCCCCCCCCCCCCCCCGCTGCGGGATTAGGGCCCAGCCGGCTGCGCAGGCCCCTGGGCGGGGAAAGGAGGGACCCGAAGTAAGAGCGGCTCGAGGAGCAATCCTGGTCGGCGTTAAACCCGTCAGTCTGCCTTCTAGTCCATTCGGTCTGATCCACTCACTAACACAGGTCGAGCCCCGCCTGCGTTTGTGGAAGGAGGGGGCGCAAAGGGACAGTTCTCGTCCGCCACGGCGTGCTAGGGGCTGGCTACGTCGGATGCCATCTAGGGCCTCGGGGTCCCACCCTCAGGAAGCACCCTGCCCCGCTCCCACCAGCCTTTCTGTGCTCTTCTCTCCCTCCCTGGAACCTGCTCCCGGGAAGGCGATGGGTGATGTAAGCCACGTGGGCGACCGGGCAGGTGTTTGCAGCTGTGCCCTCGGCGGCCCCTCTCCCTCTCCTCTCTCCTTCCTGATTTTGGGGATGAGGGCCGCCCACTGCTTCCCGCCACCTCCTCCCCGGCTTGGGTGACCGTCCAGGAGGTCTCCGGCCTCCCTGGCTGGCTGTGACCGCGCCGCCCGCTTGTGCCCCCCTTGTCCCCTCTGGGCAGAAGCTTTCGGGGCAGGCGTGCCCTCCACGTGCGCTCCCCCCGCCTCAGTGATAGGCAGGCTGGCGTCAGGACTGCTGCCCTGTCCTCAGTGACCCGGGGAGGACAACACTCTGTCCCGGTCCCCGGCCTCCACTGCCCGCGAGGGGTAACCTTCGCTACGGCTAAGGGCCGCTGCCGCCCTGGGATCGCGTGTTCCTGCTGCTTGACCTCACACTCACACGTTTTCTTCTCTGTATTCCCGACGCTCTGGCACTGGGGCCTCGATCCTGGAGACCTGCCCATAGGGCCCACTCCTAACTCCCCCAAGAACGCGCCTTTGGCACAACACGTGACCCATCCGCAGCCACACCCCAACTAGGTCTCACGGTTTTTTTTTTTTTTTTTAAGATTTTATGTATTTATTCATGAGAGACACAGAGAGAGGCAGAGACACAGGCAGAGGGAGAAGCAGGCTCCCTGCGGGGAGCCCAGTATGGGACCTAATCCCAGGACCTGGGGTCACGCCAACTGCTGAGCCCCCCAGGCGCCCCTCAACCATGTGTTTTATCAGTCTCCCTCACGGACAGCAGTCCCCCTGCCCTGGGTCACCCAGGCCAGGTGCGGCACCACTAGGGACCCTCCCGTGGTCCAGAGCAGTCGTGCAAACTGGCCAATCGTGAGCATCCCCAATGACTTAGCCTGCCTCGCCCATTCCTTCCCCTGAGAACCCCAGCTGTGGCTCTGGGCCATGCTCTCCCCTTACCCTCCCTGCCTCCTGACCCCCCGTCTCGCCCCATGTGGCCTGGCGGGAAGCGCTGCACCTCTGGATTCTAGGATCTGCGCCTCTGGACCTCTTTCTTCCTGACAACCGCTTCTGTGCACATCTTAGCATTCCCAATAAAAACCCCCAGGTACATTTCCACCCCTGGAAAGGCTAGGATGAAGCCCGGGATTGGCCGCAGGCCCCCTGGGGTTTCTGATCCCCTGCCCAGGCTCTGGGATCTGCCTGGCTCTGAGCTGGCCTCTCCCCCAGCAGACGGGCCTCCCTGTGTGGCAGGAAGATGGACCCAAGCACCCCGGCTTCATCACCGGAGCCCCGAGGCAGGAGATGGTGTTTGCTGCAGATTCCAGCAGGAAAAGTCCTTGGGAAAGACGCAGACTGGTCCCGTCTGAGGCACGTACAATCACGAGGGCATCTCCGGGCCGTGCACGCTGATTAGAATCGAGCCCTATGCTCTCGGCTGTGGCCTGGCGGGTGGAGAGCGCCGGGCCGCCAGGAGCACGGGCATCAATGACAGATCTATCACCGCCCTTTGTGCATGGAGTCTGGACGTCCACACGTTGCCATGTTCCAAGGAAAGGACAGTTTTCAGATATCTGTTCATTACCCAAAGTACTACTGGAAAATCAGACAAGCCCTGAGGAGGAGAAATTTCCTTGAGATCAATAGATAGAATCGAAGATGTTTTTCCAAGATGGGATCAGGCCAGCTAAAAATACGGCGTCTGCAGACAATCCCTCCTCCCTAACAGTAGGAAGCAAACACCTTAAAAGAGCATGTGGAGTGAAGGGTAGCAGACGTTCACTGAATTTTCTGGTTATTTGTTGAATGCCCCCGAGAGGCCGTGCACCCAGATGGTTCTGTTCAGGTCGACGTGGCTAAAGGAATGATCCTAGAGAACACAGGCAACACTCTTTTTGAACTTGGCCACAGTAACTTCTTGCAAGATACATCCATGAAGGCAAGAGAAACAAAAGCAAAACTGAACTATTGGGACTTCATCAAGATGAGAAGCTTCTGTACAGCCAAAGAAACAGTCAACAAAACTAAAAGACAACCTCCAGATTGGGAGAGGATATTTGCAAATGACATATCAGATAAAGGGCTAGTTTCCAAGATCTGTAAAGAACTTATTAAACTCAACAGCAAGGAAACAAACAATCCAATCATGAAATGGGCAAAGGACATGAAGAGAAATCTCAGAGGAAGACCTAGACATGGCCAACAAGCCCATGAGAAAATGCTCTGCATCACTTGCCATCAGGGAAATACAAATCCAAACCACAATGAGATCCCACCTCACACCAGTGAGAATGGGGAAAATTAACAAGGCAGGAAACCACAAATGTTGGAGAGGATGCGGAGAAAAGGGAACCCTCTTGCACTGCTGGTGGGAATGTGAACTGGTGCAGCCACTCTGGAAAACTGTGTGGAGGTTCCTCAAAGAGTTAGAAATAGACCTGCCCTACGACCCAGCAATTGCACTGTTGGGGATTTACCCCAAAGATTCAGATGCAATGAAACGCCGAGACACCTGCACCCCGATGTTTCTAGCAGCGATGTCCACAATAGCCAAACTGTGGAAGGAGCCTCGGTGTCCATCGACAGATGGTGGATAAAGCAGCTGTGGTCTATGTATACAATGGGATATTCCTCAGCCATTAGAAATGACAAATACCCACCATTTGCTTCGACGTGGATGGAACTGGAGGGTATGATGCTGAGTGAAATAAGTCAATCGGAGAAGGACAAACATTATAGGGTCTCATTCATTTGGGGAATATAAAAAATAGTGAAAGGGAATAAAGGGGAAAGGAGAGAAAATGTGTGGGAAATATCAGGGAGGGAGACAGAACATGGAAGACTCCTAACTCTGGGAAACGAACTAGAGGTGGTGGAAGGGGAGGTGGGCGGGGGGTGGGGGTGACTGGGTGACGGGCACTGAGGGGGGCACTTGATGGGATGAGCACCGGGTGTTATGCTATATGTTCGCAAACTGAACTCCAATTTAAAAAAAAAAAAAAAAGAGGGCAAGAGAAAAAAAAAAAAAGGGAATGACAGTCAACTGCCCAGACACTGATGCTGCTTCAATTTCCTTTCTCATGGATGCCCCTGGGAGGCCCAGAGAGCAGGGATCTGGAGATCTGACGGTGGGTCACAGGGGCCAGGAGAACAGAGGGGCTGAGTTCACAAGGCTGCAGTCAGCCTGACAGTAGGACGAGGGCTCTCAATCCGCAAACGCTGGGCTGGCTTCCAGGGTCCATGAACTCTTGCCACTGAATATAAGAAACGGAATGTTCATTTCCTACGGGAAGGATCCACGGCTTTCATAGATTATCAGTGGATACAGCCCCCAGAGGGTTAAAAGAACCGCCATGCTAACAGAAAGTTCGCTCGGCTTCCGACAAACAGCAGAGGAGCTTGGAATTTTTTCCGGGACATTCCTAGCAACTCGGGAGTTTTCTCATCTGTACTTCGGCTCCAGTATTTTCCAAATGGAGCTAAAGTCACAGAACTCCACGTCCCTTGCACAGTCCTGTGGTAGCGGGAAAGTGAGAGAAATCTGGGCCCAGGTCCTAATGAGGCCATTTACCAGCAGGCGACTTCACCTCAATGAGCTGATTTCCTCATCAATAAACGGAGGATGGTGGCGTTCGTGTCGCACCGACCCCGCGACACTAAATGAAACAGTGACTGCAGAGAGCTTTCCACCTTCCTTTCCTTTTAGAGTCAAAGCAAACGTGATTGAGCCTTTCTCAACTGCCCTGATGTGCTGATGAGTGCTTTCAGGGACCTGGTTTCTGAATCCTCACAGCAGCCCTGGGGACCAGGTACTATTATTATCCTCATTTAATTTTTAAACATGGGAGGGGGATAACTGAGATTCAGAGGCCAGGTCCCTCGCCACCGAGGGGCAGAGCTGGCTTCCAGCCCTGGCAGCCCTACTGGAGCCATCCTGCCGCCCCAGGGCTCTGCCTCCAGCCCCCTCCCAGCAGCCCCGTCCCCACGCACCTCCCAGAACTGCCAAGACAAAGCATGCAGACGGCAGGCAGGGCGCTGTCGCCATGGGGTGATGTGGGCCACAAGGGGACAGCCCTGCACACGCCTGTGAGTGGCCACCATGACCGGGAGGGTTCAGCTCCGCGGACTGCTTGCACCCTGGCTCTTGGCCCTCGGGACAGGTGCACACCATCAGACTCGCCTTCTTTCGCTCCACGTGGCAGATAAGCACATGCAAGGTGGTGAGGGGCGCCAGCCTGGTTGCAGGTCACCCTGGGCTCCCAACCTAGCTGAGAATTAGAAGTCGGGATCAGGCTTACGAACGAGAGGGAGCGTTGGCATAAAGGCAACAGTGTACGTCAAGGACAGAGGCTTCGAAAAACGTGACTAGAGGCATGAAGGTTTTAGAACTGGTATTTATTTCCAGTTACTCCCACTTCTTTCCCTGAAATGGCTGCATTACACCAAGGAAGGGCCCTCTGGCTTCAGGAGGGAGGAAATTAGCGCCCATCCCAGACTCCCAGTGCTGGAAGGAGGTCGGGCAGGGTTGAGGTGGCTCGGGAGGGCTCTGGCCATAGGTCGGGGTGGACCACACCGCAGTGGCCCTGCTCCGTAGGATCTGCCCGGCTCCTGACAGAGAAGCCGCAACCGCTGGCATCACCCGCTTGATTGCCTCCCTGTGTTCAGGGCTGGAAACGGACTAATCAGACCTAATGCAGGAAAGGCACTTCCTAGAGGAGCCCCACAATGTGGGCCTGAGCGTTCCAATCTGCCAGGCAGAGGCGGCTGATGAAGCAGATGCCCCCTCACGGTGGTGATGAAGTCTTCTAGAGATGGAGGCTTCTGCTCACCAGCTTCAGAGAGGAAAGGATGACGAGTGAGGAGAACAGCGTGGGGGCACGGCCGCTTCCTGCCAATCCAGCTGTCCTTCCAGATGGCAGCCCCCTCCTGGTCCCCACCCCCCGGCCTGTCGACAATGGCGCAGCTGCTGCTCTGGGGCAGCCCGTGCGCTGGGAGGCGCCCCACCTCTGGCCGGCAGTTGGGGCCCGGCAGCGGGGCCAACAGCTGGCTGGGGTTATTTGTTGGCCACCGCGGAAAGCTGGTCACGGATGCGGCCCAGGCCGTCGAGCATAGTGTCCAGCGTCTCCTTACTCAGCTCCACGGTGACAGCCGAGATGGAGGGCTTGTCTCCACACAGACTAGGATCTTCCTGGATCTGAAAAGAGAACATGGCCCAAATGTCAGAGGCGCCCCTCTTCCCACAAGCCTAGACGCGAGCCCTGGACACGGGAGCCCTTCCGCACTCTGGTGAACCTCTGCAGACAGGCTCCTCGCTCAGAGCGACAGAGTCCTAGCACTGGAGTCATTTAGCAAATGAGGAGACGGAAGGAGAATCCTGGAGGCCTGTGAAGGAGGTGCTCAGGGCGGGTATCAGAGAAGCCAAGGGCCACTCAGCCCTCGGGCCCCTGACTCTCAGCATCCGAGTGAGAACACCCTGCACAGGCCCATACACGGACTTTACGCAGAGGGCTCTAGGGGTGCGTGAGAATCCGCGGGGATGCAGAAAAACCATTACAGCTCCTGGTTATATTTATTTGATTCTTTAAAAACAAAAGTAAACCCTGCCAGTGTTTAAAATTTAGCTGTTAGAGGCACCCTTACTTTTTCATTTTCTTACGGGCGCTGCGTTTCTGGGTGTGTGGTTAAGTAAGTACAGCATCACGAAACAAACCCTAACAATGGGTATGTGGTTTAAAAAGATTCCTGCAGAGATCTGTAAAGTGAACACCGAGCACACGAGAACGAAGGTCTGATCCTTCTCCAACTGCTAACAGGAGCTCTCCCGCAGCCGTGTTACAAGCAGTGGCAGCACATGAGGAACTAAGGCCGAGAAGGCCACCTGCACCCCGATGCCACGCCCCCACTGTGAAAGCTAGACTTCCCCGTTAGTGTCCAGGTGGACTTCAGGGAGCAGAAAAACATTTTTAAAACTCGTGTTTTGTGTTTGTCTTATCATTTTACAATTTCAACCTTCAGGGTCTGTTTTATTATGTCTGTAATGTGTTAATACGATACTTGGCACATAAAGACTGCATGGGGGGTGCTGAATTTTCTTCCGTGGGGTCGGAGGTCCCAGAGCTCTTTGGGAGCTTTGATGGTGCATGCAGGGGTGCCGAGTCACTGCTGCCCCTTCTTCCCTTCTTGTGAGCAGCAGTGGGCGTACCTTCATCTGGAGCAGGCAGGTGGGGACGGCCATGCGGCTGATGCTGTCAGAGGAGGTCTTGACATCCACTCTCCAGTCCAGGTCGACCAGGCGCGGCAGCGAGACTGCGAAGGAGACGGGCCGGCTCAGCGCTCATGCCGCTCACCTTACCAAGCCCTTCCTCCGGGTCAGGCAGGCGAGCGCTGGGTCATGCTCCTGAGCCACAGGGCAAGTCCCTCCCTGGGCTCCAGACTGCCCACCCTTAGCACTGGTTCATGGTGGGCGCGCGTGGGGGCCTCTCCCGGCACGTCCAAGCCTCCAGATGTCAGCACAAAGGCACAAAGTGAGAGATGACACAAGGCAGAGAAGATGAGGATGGGGCCGGAGTCTTAGGAAATGTATAAGCTTCCACGATGGCAGGAAGAGGTTTGGTTTGAGGGGGGAGAGTTGGCCTGAAGATGGGTACTACCATTTCCAACCTCTGAGCCTGTTTCCTCATCTGTAAAGTGGGGATAATCTCAGTCTCACTCCCAGGGGCGCGGGGAGGGCCAGATGAGCTAATGCTATGGTGTGTCGACACCGTGACCAGCTCAGAGGAAGTTTAGGAACCATTATTAAACACCCACTTATATTCACTCCTTCTAACTAATTCAATTTCCACCACTGTTTTTTTTTCCCCCTAATGGAAATAGAACTGTTTTAATTATTTTACTTTCTGCTTTGGATGTTTCTGGAGTTTTTCTTTTTTTTTTTTTTAACAATGTATTTATATTAAGTTTATAATCAGGAAAAAAAAGAAAAAGTGAAATTAAAAAGAAAAGCACAACACACACTGTTCAGTTTGGGATGAGGTTAAAGCAACGTTGAGGTTTGGTTACAAGCTCTGGCACCTGGCAGGGTTTGAGCCAGGGCCAGGAAGGAAGGGGAGGGAGGAAGGCGGGTTTCTTGGTACTCACTCTGATTTGCTTGGGCTTCAGTTCGCCAAGTAGAGCTGTTTAAGAGGGAAAGATGAGGAAAAAGGACAGAGAAGGGATGAGAATCGATCATGAGAGAGGCCGGTGGACCTGGCCTCTACCCTGTTTGGGGTCTTCCAGCCTCTCATCACTCCCTCGCAGGGAAGGAGCACAGAAATGTTTCCCACCATTGCAGAGCCAGTTTTTTGTTTGACAAAGCTCCGAGATGTAAAGACCACACGTGCTGCTAGTGTTCGTAGCTTAGGGGGGAAATGAAAAAGGAAAGGCTTAATGAATTGCATTCTTACTGTGCTACCTTCTAAAAGTCAACCTATTCTCTTTTATTGAGCACCTAACCCCACAAAGTATTGCATTTTATGCAAAACACACCCAAATAGACCTGCCTAATGCTACAGCAGGGAGCATCATAGTGAGAGGCTAAACAGAGGCAGAAATAAAATGTGGTCACCTGTGAGAAAACTTCTAAATAAACAATAAAACCCTTGGGGGGCAAGCAGGCATAATCTGCTATCACTACCCAAGATTTCTGTTTAAGCCTCCTGCTGACCAGCAGTTAATCAGTCCTGCTTAAATTGTATGTATCTAATGGGTTTTCCCAGAAAATATTTAGGTAATTCACAAAAGAAACAAAAATGATTAATCAAATGTATGAAAAAGGTATCTGACATCACTACTCTCAAAGATATATATAAACTGAAATGAGGCACATTTCCCATTTGTGAGTTGGGGGAAAATATAAAAAAAAAAAAGAATTCCTTCAGTGCTGATGAAGGTGGGGGAAGGAGAACCAGTTGGTGCGACCTTTCTGATGGTCAACTTGAGAACACAGAGCAGAAGCCTCACTGTCGCCTTTAACCAGGAAGGAGATAATTAAGCATGTGAGCAAAATTTCCATAGTAAGTCAAAGTGAAAACTGCCAATGGCCTCAACATCCAACACTAAGGAATTTCTTAACAAAATTATACAGAATTTCTTTAGGAATATATTTAGCCATTAAAAATGACACTGAAGATGAGTATTTATTGACCTAAAATATTGTTACATAAGTATTACAAGGAACTATCAAAAAATGAGCACTTACACATGTTCTAGGATGATTTTCGTCAGCAGGTTTTTGAGGTTCTGGTGGAAATTTTCAGGAAAGAGAGCCAGGATCGCCTCGGCAGAGGACAGGTCACGGAACACCGCCAGCCTGGTGAGGCGGTGCAGAGCTTGGAGCAGCTGCAGGATAGGCCTGCGTGGTGAGCAGCGGGGCGGGGGGCAGGCCTCTATACCCCCGCTGCTGGGGAGAGGGCCTGGCACACACCGCCACACGTCCCAACGGTCCCACGGGTCCTGAGGCCTCTGTCACAGTTGCTGACGCCCAGGTGCCTTGGCCCACCTCTAAGTTACCTACTGCTTTAGAAGACAGGTGTAGCTGCCTGACATAGGAACCTGTCAACATGCCAGAAACTTCTGTTTGGGAGCAAAGGGTTAATAAGTCCCCTCTCCTTGTGCACAGAATCTGACCTTCAGTTCTAGCCGGTTCCCTGGTAACATGAGAGAAGTGAAAAGTCAGCTGTGTTACTAGGCAACACTGCACTGGGCCTCTGCCTCGGGACTGGGAGGTCTGCAGGAACTCCTGAGCCCGTAGCTCTGGGTCCCCCGAGTGTGGCTGCATGCTGCCTGCCAGAACCCGAAGCTGGGCTTGCTGAATTGCTACCAGGGGTCTGGCTCCTGCAGGGTTTGGGCTTTGAATCCAGGGTGTCCTTGCCCCTAGGCTGTCATCTAAAAGGGCAAAGAAAACAAATAGATCCCGGTGGGCTGTGTTGACTCCCCTGTGGAAGAGGAGGGCCTGACACTGCCCTGCTAGTTTGCTGTGCTCTACCCTAGGTCCTTCCAACTGAATCTGTAGCCAAGGATGGCCTGTGGCTGCCCTATCAGTACAACAATGTTTAGCTGAAACTGAGAAGACTCGAGGTGACTGCTTTACGGCTTTCTCTGATGACACGGGAGGCTGCTCAGCTGCAAAGGCACAATCAAGTGGTGAGGGGATGTTAACCCTCCATGGATGGGGGGTGAATGTCAGTGGATAAATGCCCAACCTCCCTGCCCTCCAGGGTGACAATTCTGGGGTGTGTTTCCCAGGGTTTCTTACAGAATCCCAAGATTGAGTCCCGTTGCCCACAGCGGTACCCAGTCATTAACACATTCTTTCATGGCTCTGCCTCTCTTCCCTGTTAGATTTTCCCCATTCCCTCCTTTGTGCTTTCTAGACTCACCTCCCCAGGTAATTACTAACAGCCAACTCTCAGCCTCAGGCTCAACTTTTGGGGAACCCAAACTAAGTCTTCAACTCACTTCCATAATCTGGCTGCTGCCTTTTACTGTTCTACAGCTGACTTCAATGAACAGAGTCCTGGTTTAAAAATAGTAATAATAATAATGTAGGCCTGTTTGAATGAACTCCTATTTTAGGAGCCTATTTGCCCTAAAAAGAGAAGATTGTGAGTACTACATAAATGGAGTCACCTCCCTCTTCCTCTTAGCAACCAGCTGAGGTCAGGTAGGGTCCAGCAGCATCCCCCTGAATCATATTCAGGTCTCAGAGCCTCTGCTGAGTGTCCCCTAAGAAGTCTTTCTAAGCTACCCAGCTGACAACCTATCAGCAGCGGCAAGTTAGAGGGGAAAAAAATCACAAAGATTGGCTTTTGTCTGCACTGTCTAGGGAACAAGTCTGAAAAGGAAATGGCCGGGACCTCTGATCCTGGGTAGAGTTCTCCCATCTTTGTCTCATTTATCATAAGGAAGTGAAGGTTCAAAGATAATAGCTTTTAAGTTTACTCGCATTAAAATAAAAATCTATTTTAAGTTTGTTACAATGTCAACAGACATTTCAGGGGAAAAATTTCCTTGGATGTGGCAATGACTGGGAAGTTAAGAAAGAGACTAATGAGCTGAGAAGCCAGTGGCCAAAGGTCATTTCTAACCATACTTACTTGCTCTGCTTCCTCCTGGGTCACAGACAAGCTGGAGCATGTCATATCCAAGAGTTTTTCTGAGCCAAGGGCTGAACTGGGAAAGCTCTCTTGGCACAGCTGTCTGACAACATCTTTTGAGGAGGCCTATGAATTAATTCACAGATGGGGAGAAAAAAAAAAAACCCATTCAGAGTCGGAAAATACATGTTTCAGAACATAATATTGTGTCAGGCATGGTGTGATACCTTTGAGACTCAAGACTTAAAAGTGCCTAGGACATTTCCAGTTGTGGAGGGATGAAACAGATGTACTTTGCCTTATTTTCCCTTCTCAGCACAACTGAACCTGATGGGCACTGTGTAGAAAACAAACGTGAGACCACTCTGAGGTGGGGAGGGGAGAAGACGGGCCTGCTGTGGGCCTCACCTGCAAGACCAAGAAATGACATGGCGGTGAGTTTCCTCGATTTTCTCTTCCAAGTAGGGAGCTGGGACCTTCATCCCCATGGAGTGGCAACAAGTCCCACCACCCCATGGTATTAATATTAACAACAGGCCAGAACTTCCACCCCTGCCCAGCAGTAACAAGGAACCCCCACTTCTGGGTGTCAGTAGGAGCCAAGTGCAGAACCTGGACTTTCCTCTCCATCAGGTCGTAATGAGGCAGAAACCCTCCAGAATCTCAGAGTATAACATGAGAATGACCAGGTTTCAACCAAAAAATCATTCATCATACCAAGAACCAGAAAGATCTCAAATTGAATGAAAAAAAGACAATCATTAGATGCCAACGTCAAGATAAGAGATGTTAAAATCATCTGACAAAGATTTTAAAGCAGCCATGACAAAAATGCTTCAACCAGTAATTACTAACATGCTTAAAACAAATAAAAAAGCAAAGGAAAAGAAGATGCAAAAGAAGAACAAAATGGAATTTTAGAACTGAAAAATACAATAACTAAAATTAAAAGTCTGGTAGATGGGCTTAGCACCAGAATGAAAGGGACAGAGGAAAGAATCTGTAAACTGGAACACAAAGCCACTAGGAAATTACCCAGTTTGCACAGAGGGAACAGACTGGAAATAATGAACAGAGCCTCAGGGATCTGTGGGACTATACCAAAAAAAAATCTAACATTCATGTCATTGGAGTCCTAGAAGGGGAGGATAAAAGGGGCGAGAATGAAAAAGTACTTAAAGAAATAATGGCTGAACATTGGCCAAGTTTAGCTACAGACATAACTGTATGCATTCAAAACCTAAGCAAATTCTCCAAGGGATAAATCCAAAGAAATCCATACCAAGATACATCATAATTAGACTCCAGGAAACTAAAGGCAAAGAAAATGTCTTGAAAGCAGTGAGAGAAAAAACAGTATCTTATCTGTAAGAAATAATCAGAATAATAGATTTCAAATCAGAACTCATGAAAGCAAGAAGTGGTACAATATTTCTCAGGCGTTGGAAGAAAAGAGCTGTCAACTCAGAATCCTACACTCATCAAAAAATATCCTTCAGAAAATGAAGAGGAAATCAAGACATTCTCAGATGAATGAAAATTATGAAAATCTGTCACAAGACAAAAGAGGTTCTATTAATAGAAAGGAAACAATAAAAGGAAGCTGGGAACATCAGGAAGAAAGACAGGACACAACAAGCAAAAATAAGGGTAAATATGATAGACTTTCCAAATTCTGCTTAAAAGATGAAGCAAAAATTGCAACTCTAAATGTATGAAGAGGAAATATTTAAGACATTATATCAGAAATGAGGGAAGGGATATAAAGGGAAGGTTTCTATACTTCAGCTCTAACTGGTAAAATGATGACACTAATAGACTGTGATGTTATGTATATAAATGTAATTACTAGAGCGACCACTAGAAAGATTATAAAAAGAAATGCATTTTAAAATGCTACAGATAAACCAAAAGGGAATTCCAAAAATATGTTCAAATAACCCATAGGAAGGCAAGAAAAAGTAAAAAGAAACAAAAAACACAGAAGAGCAGATAAAAAAAAAACCAAAAAATTAAATGGCAGACTTAAGCTCTAATATTCAATAATTACATTAGCTATAAACAGTTAATTAAATATGAGCTGCAGATATAACTGTTAAATGCTGTCTGTGAGAAACTCTCTTCAAACATAATGATAGAGAGATTAAAAGGATGGGAAAAGATATATCATGCAAATACCAATGAAATAAAATCAAGAGAGGCTACAATAATATCAGACAAAGTAGCCTTCACAGCAAAGAAAATTACCAGAGGCAGAAAGGGACATCACATGATGATAAAAGGTTCTATCTCCTAAGAAGACATCCTGAATATATATGTACCCGGCGAGAGAGCCAGAAAACATGAGAAGTAAAAAGAGAGAACTTAGAGACAGACAAGTCCACAAATACAGCTGGGGACGTCAACATCCACCTTTCAACAACTGATAGAACAACCAGACAGATATTCAACAGGGACACAGAAATTTCAACAACACCATCGATCAATCTAATCAACGCTTATGGAACACTACCCAGTAGCAAAAGAACAGTCTCTTCAAGTGCCCACTGAACATCTACCAAGACAGATCATATTCTGAGCCATAAAACAAACCTCAAATAACTGAAATGTGTGTTCTTGGTGACCACAATAGAATCAAACTAGAAATCACTAACAGGAAGAGGAGAAGAAAATATCCAAACACTTGGAAACTTAAACACACTGCTAAATAATCCACAGATCAAAGAGGAGCCTCAAGGGAAATTTTAAAAATTACACTCTAAAAGTTATACTAAATGCATACAAATGAAAGGAAAGGAGAAACCACAAAATTTTTGGGACACAGTCATGATAGTGTTGAGGGGGAAATTTACAGCATTAAACACATATATTAGAAAAGAGTAAAGTTCTCAATCAATACTTTAAGTTTCCATCTCAAGAACATAGAAAAAGAAGAGCATAATAAACCCAAAGGAAGAAGAAGGAAACAACAAAGAGCAGACACCAATGAAATTGAAAGCAAGAGAAAAAAAAAAAATCAATGAAACGAAGAACTAGTTCTTTGTCAATATAATTGACAAACTTTTAGCAAGACTGGCAAAGTTAGACAGGAGACACAAATTACCAATATCAGGAATGAAACAGGGCATATCACTACGGATCCTGAAGATTTCAAAAGGAAAATAGGAATAACCACCAATAACTCTATACACACAAATTTGGCAGCTTGGACAAAATGGATAAATTCCTCAAAAAACACAAACTACCACAGTTCCCCCAATATGAAACTGATAATTTGAATAGCCCTATCATGATTAAGGAAATTGAATTCATAATTTAAAACTCCCCAAGAAGAAATTTCCAGGCCTAGATGGTTTTGCTGGAGAATTCTAACAAACATTTAAAGAAAGAATTAACTAATTCTACACAGTCTTTTCTAGGAAACAAAAAAGGATGGAACATTTCCCGATTCATTTCATAAAGCTAGTATTACCCTGATATCAAAGTCAAAGATTGTACAAAAACATAAACAAAAAACAAGTACACAGTCCAATATCCCTCATAAAGACAGATGCAAAAGCCCTTTATTAGCAGGGGCCCCCCGGGGGGCTCAGTTGTTAAAGAGTCTGCCTTCGGCGCAGGTCATGATCTCAGGGTCCTGCGATCGAGCCCCACACCAGCTCCCTGCTCAGCAGAGAGCCTGCTTCTGTTTCTCCCTCTCCCTCTGCTACTCCCCCTGCCTGTGCTGTCTCTGTCAAATAAAGAAATAAAATCTAAAGAAATATATATTAGCAAGTAGAGTTCAGCAATATATAAAAAGGATTATTCACTATAAACAGGTGGGATTTACTCCAGGAGTGCGAGGCTGGTTCAGTATTTAAAACTATGTAATCAGGGCAGCCCGGGTGGCTCAGCGGTTTAGTGCTGCTTTCAGCCCAGGGTGTGATCCCGGAGACCCGGGATCGAGTCCCACGTTGGGCTTCTGACATGGAGCCTGCTTCTCCCTCTGCCTGTGTCTCTGCCTCTCTGTTTCTTGAATAAATAAATAAAATCTTAAAAAACAAAACAAAAAAAAACCCCTATGTAATCTACCAATATTCACAGGCTGGAGAGAAGAAAATCACATAGTATCAATCAATGCAGAAAAAGCAGTTGACAAAATTCAATACCCATTCTTGATGAAAACTCTCTCCTAAGATTGGGAATAGAAGGGACCTTCCATAATTTGATATACAGCACTACAAAAAAAAACCCTAGAGATAGCATTATATTTCATGGTGGAAATCTAAAGTAAGGAACAAGGCAAGGATGTCTGCTGATATCACTCTTATTCAACATAATGCTGAAAATTCTAGCCACTGAAATAAGAAAAAGGAATAAAATATATACAGATCAGAAAAGTAGAAACAGGGGCACCTGGGTGGCTTAGTGGTTGAGCGTCTGCCTTCGGCTCAGGGCATGATCCCGGGGTCTGGGATCGAGTCCTGCATCGGGATCCCCGTAGGGAGCCTGCTTCTCCCTCTGCCTGTGTCCTTATTTGCAGATAACATGATTGTCTACACAGAAAGTCTCAAGGAATGTATAAAAAACCTAGTAGAATAAGTGAGTTCGGCATATTTGCAGATACAAGATACATACACACAAAAAAAAACAGTTGTATTTCTATATACTAGCAATGAATATATAAACACTGGAATTAAAAGTACATTATCAGGGGCATCTGGCTGTATCAGTCGGAAAAGCATGGGACTCTTGATCTCAGGGTTGTGAATTCAATCCCCATGCTGGGTGTAGAGATCATTAAAAAATCCATAAATAAACTTCAAAAAAAAAAAAAAAAGACTTAGAGCAGCCCGGGTGGCTCAGTGGTTTAGCGCCTGCCTTCAACCCAGGGCATGATCCTGGAGTCCTGGGATCGAGTCCCACATCAGGCTCCCTGCATGGAGCCTGCTTCTCTCTCTGCCTGTGTCTCTGCCTCTTTCTCTCTCTCTCCCTCTCTCTCTCATGAATAAATAAATAAAATCTAAAAAAAAAAAAAAAGATTTATTCATTTGAGAGAAAGCGAGAGAGGGTGAGAGAGAGTGTGCATGCAAACTCTTGAGCAGGAGGGAGAGGGACAAGCAGACTCCATGCTGAAGCTAGGAACT